ACCACAATCCAACTCCAATGCTTAATAATCCACCGAAAATATTAAAAAAATGCACCCACATATAGTAGAGAAATAGAAAACGAACCAAACTACTAACACCAACGTCCTAAAAAATTAACCAAAAAGCATACAAAATCATAAGCTAACTACAATCCAACTCCAATGCTTAATAATCCACTGAAAATATTAAAAAAATGCACCCACATATAGTAGAGAAATAGAAAACGAACCAAACTACTAACACCAACGTCCTAAAAAATTAACCAAAAAGCATATAAAATCATCCAAAAAAAACCAACAAAACAAACTTCAATTCCACTCAACATTATAATTCATAAAAGCCTGAAATATGCCTAGGAATCCCATGCTTGAATTTTCATTTCCTACTCTTATATTTAATCACCAAATGAATTTGATTTTTAAGTTAACCCAGAGAGGTCGTAACTTTCCTAAAAATTCTATTATTACTCTCTATCCAAATAATACGAGCAGTGATATTAACTGCAAGTTAAGCAAAACCATTTGGATGCTTTAATGTGTTTTCTATCAACATATGTAAGAGCTTGAAGCATATTTGACCTGATCATATCAAAATTTCCATAAGGATTACGAGATTTAAGAAATAAGACAGAACATTAAAAAAATAGATGATTATGAGATTCCAAAAATCTATTAGAAAAAACACGAACATTAATAACAATCACTCCATCTTTTAGATAAAATGTAACGTGATTTCAGGCCTGCCAATGATAATTTTCCAAGCAATGGTTGCAAATTTAATAGAAGCCTTTAAACCAAAATGTAATTATACAAGGATAGCAACATGTATGCCATAGTGTTGATATTATATTTGGTGATAAATTAATTAGAACATTTATTATATATGATTTAAAAACTAGATGATGATATTGGTCTTCTCTTTAAAGCCATGAATAAGGTTTTAGATGGAGAAAACAAATTTGTTATGCTCGACATCTTAAGGATGTAGGATTTCTCTTTGTAAAATATGAAGTAAAAAGTAGATGCATCAATTTTGATAAAATTCAGTCCCACATGCAAACCACTACAATTTGAGAATAATAGTTAAAAAAAAAGACTAGAGATCACTAAATAGATGAACCACGCTGCACATTGATTCATGGAGATAACTTCCTTGGGAATTTCTAATCGCCACTTGTCCTAGGAGTTGGCTAAAAAGTATTACATTCAATGATAAAATTTTTGATTCGAAGTAAAAATAAGATAATATCAAATTGGAGCATACAACATGAGCAATAAAATGTACCTAATATTGTATACCAACAAGTAATAGGTATCATCAAGTTATTACAACAACAATAAGCCTGTATCCCATTAAGTGTGGTCGGCTACATGAATCATTTTTCTCCATTGCATCCTATTGAGTGTCACATTTTCATTTAATTATAATAAATTAATATCATTTTTTATACGATATGCCCAAGTCTTTATTAGGCCTACCACTGCCTTTCTTAGCATAAGTTGAATCTAAAACATCTACTCTCTTAACTGGATCATTAGATGATCGGCGTTTAATATGACCAAACTATCTAAAACAATTTTTTCCCGATCTTGTTTGCCACTGAAGCTACACCAATATATTCATTTCACATTTCTCATCTCAACAACACATAACTTTGTTTTATGCTTCTCTTTTAAAGATCAACATTCTGTGCCATAGAGCATTGTATGTCTCACCAACATCTTATAAAATTTTCCTTTAGGTATAAAAGGTACTTTTCTATCACACAATAGGCCTGATGTATTCCTCCACTTCAACCAACCAACATGAATTCTACTAATAACATTCCCATCTATATCTATATCACTTTGAACAATAGACCTGAGATATCTAAAACGTTCACATTTTTTAATGATTTGATCACCCAAAGTTTTTTTAATGATTTGATCACCCTTAAAAATTTGATCACCCAAAGTTATAACTCTGTCACTAGAGCTATTACTACTAAAAATACATTCCATATATTCAGTTTTAGATCTACTTAAACGAAGGCCTTTAGACCGAAGGCCTTTTAAACGAAGGCCTTTAGACTCCAATATAGACCTCCATCATTCAAGTTTTTTCTAAATTTTTTCTAGTCTTATCTACAAGAAATATATCATCAGCGAAAAGCGTACATCAAGGTACATCATCTTGTAAATTCCAGTAAGAGCATCCATAACTAAATAAAAATGATATGAGCTTAAAGGCGATCCCTCCTGATGCAATCCAATTGAAATAGAAAAATAATTGGTCAATCATCTTTTTGTTCGAACACAAGTAACATCTCCAATGTACATGTTCTTAATGACTTAATTATAAGTCATATCAACACCTTTCTTCTTTAGAACTTTCCAAATGACTTCTTTTGGAACTTTATCGTAAGCTTTTTCTAAATCAATAAAAAACATATGTAAATCCTCCTTGATCTTTTTGTACTTCTCCTTCAAACCGCTCAATAAATGTATAGCTTCCATAGTAGACCTGCGCGACATAAATCCAAATTGATTATGAGAAAGCTTTGTAGTATGTCTTACTTAATCTATGTTCAATTACCCTTTCCCATAATTTTAAAGTATGACACATCAACTTAATTACTCTATAATTTGCACACTCTTGAGCATCCCTTTTATATTTAAAAATGACGACCAAAATACTCTTCTTCCACTCAGGCATCTTTTTTAGTTTTTAAAATAATATTGAAGAGTTTAGTAAGCCAATAAACTCCCAAATCTTCTAAATATTTCCACATTTCAATTGGGATAACACCCGGTCATACTGATTTCCCACCCTTGGTTTTCTTTAAAGCCTCCACTTTTTTTACTAATGCGTCAATAAAAATAATACCTTTTATTATTATTAACTATATTAAATCACTAATGTCGATCGTATTTTTAAAGACTTCATGGAAAAATTTATCAAAATAACTCACTCACCTGTGTTGAATATCTTTTTCTGAGAAAAACACATTTTATTTTTTATCTTAAATACACTTTACTTGACTTAAATTGTTACTTTTTTTTTCTCTTTGTATGACTAGTTTATACATATATTTTTTCACCATTTTTAGTATCTAATCTATTGTAAAGATCACCAATAACAAAATTTTTAGCGTCACAAATTGTTCTATTAAACTCCCTACTGACTACCTTATATTTTTTCCAGTTCTCCAAATTTCTACATTTAAACCAATTTTTATAATAGAACTTGTTATATTTATCTTTTCTTGCACATTATTATTCGACCACCAACTATTTTATTTATAGAAATTTTTTCTTTTGATTCTCCGAGTACATATTTTGCCAGTTTTTTAATAGTGTTTGTTACTTTATTCCACATAGAATTTACTTTTTCATGCACATCTCAAATATTGAAATATTAAAATTTACTCATAAAATTAATTTTATTTGTCTTTAGATGCCCCCATCTAATTCTATGACAATGATTCCTAGTATTATTTATCTTACAACACTTCATCTTAAAATTCAGAACTGATAATCGAAGTTGAGTACTTAAATTCTCACTTGGAATGACCTTACAATCTTTATATTCTCGACGATCTCTTCTTCTCATAAGAAAATAATCAATTTGTGTTTTATTAGATTCATTCTTATAAGTAATAATATGCTCATCTCCTTTTTTAAATAAAGTCTTAGCAATAACAAAATCACACGTAATAGGACTCTTCCTTCTTCATTAATCACTTCAAAATGGTAGCCACCAAGAATATTTCTAAAATCTTTTATCACTTTACCAACATGTACATTTAAATCTGCTCCAATAAAATCTCTTTCTTCAAGTGCTGTCATTTATATTGATTCTTCTAGGTCATTTCATAATTTTTTAAGAATCTATATCTAAATCTACTTAAGAGGAGCATAAACACTTATAACATTAAATATCTAAGTGTCAACAATAATCTTGAGGGGTATAATTCTATCTCTAATTCTATTAATTTTTGTAACATTATTTTTCAAAATCTTATATATAATTACACCTACACCATTTCTAGTACGTCTCATACCTGAATACTAAAATTTAAAACCTAAGCTATTAATCTTCTTAGCCTTTTCTTCAACCCATTTATTTTCTTGAATACATAGGATACTTATCTTTCTATGAACCATAATTTTTTTTTCTATGAACCATAATATCAACTAATTCCATTAATTTATCTGGGAGAGTACCCATATTCCAATATCCTATCCTAATATATTTGTTTTATGGACTAAATTCTTTATTTGCATATGTCCATTATATGAGAACCCTTGCTTATTTGACACTACACCCGGTCGTCGGTATAACAACCCTTGCACACTTTTCACTATATTCAGGCTATACAACTCGTCGCTTTCAGGGGACACCCTACCATTTGCATAAGGATCTAAAGGCTTCATGTAATGATTTTTCGACAAATTTTATGCGTGCTATCAACTACCTAACGCAACTCTCCCCTTTTCACATCTGAGGCTTGGGACCCGACAAATGCAATATTCTAAAGGATTCATGTCATCAAGTTATCACATTAAAGTTATTAAAAATGTCACATGTTCTAGCATGTTTATTAGTAAGATGATACATATCTATATGATAGTTTAAACATTGCAATTTAGAAATAAAAAATTGAATTTCTTATGAAGAACGTGGTTACATTGGATTGCTATGTCAATTGTAAATGGCTAGTGAAATATATTAATATTTGTTATGATCAGCAGCATATATTTTGAACGGTAGAACCTAGAAATATTTTATTAAGTCATCTCCTGTTTTGTATTTGTTGTATAGATACAATGTTAGTGCAACATAGCAAGTATTACAAAATGCTAAGTGTTAGCTGATGGGACCAATCATATATGCAGTAGTTACTTGTGGCATGAATTTGTGCTGTATGCGTTCTTAGTCTCCTTTGGTACCTCCTGTGCGCCACCTCAAATTGTTTTACAATCAATTTATTTTTCTCTTTATTTGTTTACCTTCTCAGGTTTGGCTCTGTGGAGGGAAAAACAGGTGCAACGTTATGCAAGAAACTAAATGCTATAGGCTGGCGGGTTTCTCATATAGCTGTTGTTGGTAATGATGTAAGAGAGCACTCACTTCTCCAACATTCATTCAGAGTTCTGATCTTTGCAAACATACCATTAAAATTCATATGTGGGCATTTTACTGATATCTCAGTTGTCTTTCTTTTTACTCAGTTGTTGCATGATCCCATGATCCATTCTTTTTTCTTTTCATTTGGTTTATTTACAGCATTCATATTTTTGGTAGGTAGAAATTCTATTGCAAATGGCCGAATGAATTTTTTGAAATAAATAATGGTAGTCTTATGTTCTATTTTTGGAATGTCATTAAAAAATAGCTATACTACATTGTCAAAGATGCTGGGCAGACTTCGACTTCACCAAAAAAGAAAATGTATTGGTTTATCATTTTCTTAGTCATTATCGCTCTTTTTTTCAGTTTTTTTTTCATCCCTAATTAAAACGAGGCATGGAAAAGCTTTGGTTGTTTTTTTTTCCTTGTTTTATTAATCTTTACTAATCTATTCGACTTTAGCAATGATGTGGGCGTAGGTCTCCTGCACTACAGCGGGGAGGGAGCCAGTTCTGGGCAGATTTGTCTCATAACTCCTAAGAGCCGAAAGACTATTTTTCTATGGATTTGTCTCCTAATTGGAGTGGGGCCACTCCTAGTTATCCTAGGTCTATTTATTTGGATTTGTAGGTGTCTAGGTTTAGTTTTGCTTGATGTTTCTGCCAGGGCAGCAGTCCACGTCTAGGTTTTCTCGTTCTAGGATTGTATCCGAAGGCGGGAAGATACTCCAACTATTACTCATTGAGTTTGTGACCTTCTCTAAGGGTTTGATGGTGCTCCGGTTATAGCTCGCTCTCGTGGGGATATTTATTATCAATTCCCTCTCCTACGCAACCTTCCCTCATCTGCCGCAACCCTCCTCTCACCGTCGCAGCCCGCCTGCCTCACTCCAGGCCCGCAAAACAACATTTTTCTATTCTCTACCGCCACTCCTAACCTTCCAGTCCTCCTCACAATGCCTTCCCCACTCTAGACTACTCCCTCCCTTCCACTAGCTTTTCGTTTCTCTTTGTCGAGCCCTACAACCAACCCTTACCTAAATTCCAGTTGCTCCACCTTCACCCTAGCCCTAGTTTGGGTCTCTGTGTTATGTCCTTTGTTGTTATTTCCTACTGTTGTATGTGCTTGTTGTAACCCTATTTAATTTCAGTAATAAAATTTGTAATTTTTGTTGCAGTTTGGTTAACTCTGGTATCATTTGGTATCAGATTTAGCCTAACCTTAGTTCTATTTTAAGGTTACTAGTATTCACTAATACTCAATCTCCACCTCCACACAAATATCATTCCCTATGCTTATTTTTCAAACTGGCCAAAAATTTGTTTCTCGCCCTTCATCATCCCTATTCACCCTCTTCCACCTACCCAAACCCCAAGCCCTAACCACGCCATCGTCGAGACAGTTGTCGGCCGAGGACAACATACAACGACTACTCCGCAAAGTTCTACATTAGCTCGATGCCATGGAGGAAAGAATCCAAGGCGAGATCATCATCGACCGTAATGGTGAAATCTTTACAGAAGACCAATTAGAAGACCTGAATCCCTTCTATAGGAATGATTCCAGCGGAAAAAAAAGGCCTCAACTCTTTGAGATACAATATCAACAGTGATCTAGAGATGGGGCAACTTTTGGATGATACAAAGATTAGATGTATGTCAAAAGAAACAAAGATGAATTGCCTGTTAAAAGATGCATAGATGACACACTTATTTAAGGATACAAATTTCTAGGAGTGAAAGTGGACCTACCAGACTTCGATGAGAGAATGGATCCGGATGACTTCCTCAAGTGGATACAGACTATTGAGCGGATCTTTGAATACTAAGAGATGCCCGATGATAGAAGAGTAAGGCTTGTCATCATGAACCTGAAGAAAAATGTTTATTTCTGGTGAGAGAATTTGAAGAGGAAGAGATAGAGAGGACAAGACATAATCACTTTTTGGAAGAAGATAAAATGGGAAATGCAGCCTACCCCAACTTTATTGCAAGAATATTTTCTTGAAGCCCCACTACTTGCAGCAAGAGCTATCAGTGGAGTACACGATAGAATTTATATAGGTTAAGTTGAAGTGTGAGCCGAAGGAGACAGAAGCACACAATAGCCATGTACTTGGAGGCCTGAAGTCCGCCATCAGTAATGTGGTATGGCTATAGCCCTATTGGACATTGATGGACGTGTAGATCTCAAAACTAAAAGTGGAGAGACAGCAGAAGCAGAGTAAAGAACTTCTATCAATCAGACAAACACCCACAGTTAGAGACCTAAGAAGGAACACGTCTCAAAGAGTGGAATAGATCAGTCATGAGCAAGATAGAGCCACTCCGAGGGAGAAGACGCCTATGAAGAGTATCATGCCCACTACTGTCCCTGTCAGGACATGCTTCATATGTCATGGTTTTGGATGCACCGCTTTCATTTGTCCTACAAGCCGATTTGTGTCCTTCACCGAGCATGGTGCCGTGAAAAAAGTGATGTAGAGGCAGCTGAAGAGAAAGGTGAGTACCGGCTTCAACTAGATGAGGGAAATATGCTTGTGGTTTGATGGGCTCTGTAGACTGAGGCTACGAGAGAGTAGCAGTGACTTTGCCACAACATTTTTCACACTCAGTGTACTGTGATGTACAAGGTATGTAATATTATCATTGATGGAGGTAGTAGCAAGAATTTGACGTCAACATTGATGGTGGACAAACTTAGCATCATAGCTCAGAGGCAACCCCATCCGTTTTCTTGACATGGTTAAAGGAGATCATGATCAGGATTGACGGGAGGCGTCTTGTGGAGTTTTAAATTGGGGACCAGCTGCAGAATTAGGTTTGGTGCGACGTGGTGCCTATGGTTGTCTGCCTCTTTTTGGGGAGACCGTGGGAGCTTGACCGCAAGACTCAACATGACGAGTTTGGGAACACCTACTCCTTCACCAAAGATGACAAGCACATCGTCCTTTTATCTTTTACGAAGTCCGATATCACAGATGCTCTTGTCATCGACCGTAATGATGAAATCTGTACAGAAGACCAAGTAGAACACCTGAATCCCTTCTATAGGAATGATTCCGAAAAGGCCTCAACTCTTTGAGATACAATATCAACAGAGATCTAGTGATGGGGCAACTTTTGGATGATACAAAGATTAGATGTATGTCAAAAGAAACAAAGATGAATTGCCTGTTAAAAGATGCATAGATGACACACTTATTTAAGGATACAAATTTCTAGGAATGAAAGTGGACCAACTGGACTTCGATGAGAGAATGGATCCGGATGACTTCCTCAAGTGGATACAGACTATTGAGCGGATCTTTGAATACTAGGAGATGCCCGATGATAGAAGAGTAAGGCTTGTCATCATGAAC